AATGTTTTCGCTTATTTCAAATTAAAATTCATTGGGATGCAGTATTTTTGTATAAACCATTTAATAATTAGTAGTTTATATATTCTGAAAATAATAATTACAGAATTTATGCCAGTTTACAGGCATGATCATTTTGATATAAATAGTAACATTAGATGTACATAACAAACGTGTGATAGAAGATAGTTTTAAGTGTACTAGTTTAGGTAGTACATGTATTACAGCGATCCAATGCATCAGCCGGGAATTTTTAATATTTCTTAAATGGGCAGCCTGTTGATTTATGAACGATGTAATTCGCGTTATCTCCTGTGCCAGATCGAATTAATGGTAATTATTTACAACTAGAGAAAGTAAAACGAAAACAGAGAGCAGGGAACAACAAAGCAGTAATTACCAAAATATATCAATCAGGTCTACCAAAATGCGTGTGCCATGTGACACAGTGATATACTGTCGATGTTATTCAAATTAGTTAGACTTTTTGGGGACGGTCTTAACATAAAGTGATAGCAGGTAGTTTTACTTAGTGAATACATTAATAAAGATGGCTTAACATTTAAAGTTCCTATAATATCACATGTGGAATGAGATACAATTACAGGTGCTAGAGCATTCAGTGCATTCGCAGAGGAGCAGTAAGCATCGATGCAGCGAACAAATAATGGTAGTGATTTTATCGTATGGATAGATTGTGGTAGATTATTCCAGAGTCTAGAAAATGTACAGGTAAAGTAATTCATATAAAGAGATGATTTAAAATAAGTTTGTTTCACTAGTGACAAGGAATTACGGATGTCATAATGAGAAGTTTCTGCATATTGAATCACTTGATTGGATATAAAGGATAGTTTATCAAGTAGCTTGAAAAAAAAGACAATACATAGTTTGAGTCTCCTCTTCCATGAAGAGTCTAGCCCAAGCTTATTACGTCTAGAATTATAAGTTAAGGTACAATCAGCTCCAAGAATACGAAGTGTAAATCATCTCTGTTCTAATTCCAGCCTTAATTTATCCTTTATGCGCGCATTGCTAAGAATAAACATGCGGTATTCTAGAAGAGGTCGAACACAAACTTTGTACATTAAAATACGTGACTCATTGTTATAAAGGTTTTGAGTTATGTAACCCACAAGACTTTGAGACTTGGAGGTCTGTTTCAATATCTGTTCTGTAAACGACAAGTCTTGGAAATATCTAAGTCTCAAGTCTACTACTGTATGTAACCTAGATAACACTTCTCCATTTATGGTAAGCTCTAGGTTGAGTGATGTATCGCCGAAGCTTATCCATCCACATTTAAGCGTATTAAGCTACAGTTGTCATTTTAAACACCACTGTGCAGCCTTGTTAAGCCCCATGGTGATGCAATTTTGCATATTTTTCAGCTCATGTGGAGAAAATGAATACACTACTCTAAGATCATCTACATATAGAAGGGGTTTACCCACACAAAAACTTTCACAAATATCATAGATAAACACTAAAAAGAGCAAAGGGCCTAGGACACTACCTTGTAATACACCACTTCTAACAAGGACAGCGTTAGACAATGAAGAGTTAATTTGACTATTTGATGTCGATTGCTGAGAACGGAATCAAACCAAGCTAGCAAAGGATTTTAAACCCCATAAGGTGCGAGCTTACCTATAAGAAGTTGGTGGCTAACCATGTCAAAGGCTTTAGAAATGTCCAGATATAGCACTAAGACTAGATATCCTTGGCTACGTAGAGAATAGACTAATTTAAAGAGGTCAAAATGACATGTCATACAAGATGGATTTTTAAGAAATCCATGTTGAGTATCGTTGATAAATTTTCCAGCAAGTAAATAGTTAGGAAGTTCATCACTTATAATTTTTTCCATAATCCTAGAGATAACTGGAGTAATATTTATCGACCGATAATTGTTCATCTCGGTCTTATCTCCAGATTTGTAACGTGGTACGATGTACGCGGTTTTCCAACAGTAAGGGTAAGAAGCGGTTTCCATAGAGAGAATAAACAGCTTTAGAAGAAGAAGTGGAATATCTGGACCACCATATTTGTAGAGAAATGATGAAATCCCGTCTACTCCATAACCTTTCGAAAGCTTAAGGGTATTTATAGCCTTATTAATTTTCATGCATGTGAAGGAGATAGATTTTATTCAGTCGCTGGTCACGCACATAACTCTTGAAGCAGAGCCATTTATAATTTCTACATCATTCGCAGAAATACTACTGAAAAGGTCTGCTATAGTTTTGGGGTCGTATAGAAAATTGCTATCATGCTGGATGCGAGGTATATCAACATTTTGAGTTGCTTTAGAGAGTGTATTGGAAAAGAGAGTTAAGTGTTGTACTTTTGAGTTATTATTAAGTGCTAGTAGCTTTTCATTAATGGCTTTTGACCCATGTTTCTCTTTAATTTGATTAAAAATTATTGTTGTCTGTGAAACTGCCGTGAAGTCACCTGACTTGAAATAACATTTCTGTAGGCATCTTAATTTATTACGATATTTAACTGGTATGTATAATTCGTAAGGTTTACTAAACCTGTACGTTTTAAGAGGTTGCCGAGAACTCATCATTACATGACTGACAACTACCGGTACTTCAGTTAATCCCAAGATAATTGAAATCCCCGGTGATTACATTAGCATTAAAGTTTAGAGCAGATGGATGTATGAGTGCATTGATAATAAGATCATTCTCATTATTCGAACTATCAGGAGCTCTCTATATACATCCAAGGAGTAGACTATAATTCAGAATGATTCTGGTAAACTATTCAGGAGAGTATTTTCAACTTTATTAGTTGTTAGGGTATCCAAAGCATATATAATACAACCACCTCCTCACTTAGTTTCTCTGTCACAACGATAGAGTCGATAGTTCTGGATATTTAACTCTGAATCAGATACTGCTTGAGAGCACCATATTTCAGTGATAAGTATGAAAAAAGGCTTGGCTAGAAAAGCTAATGTTCTCAAGGCTGAAATTTTGTGTCAGAAGTGAACGTGCATTGATAAGTAATAAGTTTAAAAAGGGAGTATGGAGTGTGAAAAAATCGAGAGCTTCCCTGTTGATGTTGTGTATTTTGGATTTGCATAGACTGTGTTTATTATGTTTGACTGATCATATGCGCTATCACTTGAACAAACTGTAGTGCTAGTGGAACCAGGGATTTCTGAAGGCCAAAAAATCATTATTTTGATAAAGTGGATTAATTTGTTGAACTTGAAATGACGGACTGTTAAGACAAGCACCTGTTAGTTGGGGTTAGGTTGATGGTGAGTAACCTAGTAATCCATCTTTCCCAATGAGAATGTGTTGAGAAAAGTTACGTCTTAAATGTTTATTATTTAAAATGTTTGAGGGTAACCGTGGGGCACATTGGTTCACTGTGGTCTGTCCAATATTAGGCCTGCTTACATAATGATTGCAGTGGCCGTCTTGTGAGACATTTGAATCAAGTCTGCCCTTATAACCTCCCCTACGATGCGTAGGGTAAAGCATGGTGTTGTGAAGTATAGTATTATTTTTATTTGGTAGGGTCATCGTAATATTTTTGTTATTGGATCTAGAACCAGAAGGTTGTGTACATGTATTCTTCTTACGTGGCAAAGGTATTTTAATCTTGACAGCGTTTTTAAGAGTTGTAGCATTAGAACTAAGTACTTGCTTATGGGCTTCTAATGGTAAACTGGGTAATATCGGATTAGTGACGTAATTACATGTACATTGGCTATCAGATGACACTACAGACATAACAGGCAAATTAGCATTCTTTGTTGGTATATCAGAGTACTGGAGAACATGAGATAGGGTAGCTGCATCAGTGGATCCAGCAGCTGATGCATCGTGATTTGTTATGATCTCAACACCTTTATTTTTGTTCAAAGTACGTTTTTGCGTAAGTCTTTGATTGATGGTCTTTTCTGAGACTATACGAGCGTTTCTAAACTTCGTAAGCGCGCAGATTAGCCTCTCGGATTCTTTCAACCGTTCAGCTAATATATGAGAATCGAATCTGAACAAGACCGGGAACGAGTATTTCTGGTGCATTTTATTAAGTCGAATTCATTGACATTGACTGTCCTGAGGGTTAGATGCTTTTAATATCGAATTCCTTACAGTTTTAATGGGGATTTTTTCAATCACGTTATTACGCGAGACTATTCTCTTGGTAACTTCATTAGCGATAAGATCGATAACAGATTCTGCTTTTACAATGTCATCAAGTTTTGCAGGAACGATATCTTTTGACAAAAGTAGTTTAAGGGGTGATAGTATATTTATCTCTTGTTTCAGATCATCATGCTTTGATAAAGAGCTAGCAAGTGACTCAACTGTAGAACGCATGTCGTTTAGTTGCTTAAAGATATTGTTTAATTCACTCTTGATACTTTTTGATCTTGGGTCACCCAGCAGCAGGTGTGGTGTAAGACCACTCCCAACACTATCAAATTCAAAAAAGGTAGCAGAGCATGGGGAATAGGTAATAATAGAATTGTTATTATCTGAAGAATTAGGGACTTTACGGGCTCTTTCTTTTTGACAGTTGACCCATATCGCTTTAAGTATAAATTCTAAAGCTATTTATGAGTTATAAACTAGGATTAAACGATATTCAAACAATATATATTGGATACGTGTTATCGTAACGCAAACTTCAAACGTACCATCAACTAAACAAAATTACTGTATTATTATTATTGAGAGATAATGGTATTCAATTCATTATATATGTGCTTCATTTGTTTGCTCGTTTGCGCGCGCGTGATTCACTCGTCAACATCAGTGAGTTATTTAAATAGTTTTGTCACAGATATTTTAATCTGACTTACTTTAAGTCAGTCGTATCACTTGTTTATTCAATGTGTGTGATTTGCTTGTCTGTTTGACTTACATATTCAGTGTCAGATTCGATCAATAAGCTATTTGTCAATTGTAGTTGAATGAAATTTCCACCTATATATATATGATTTAATCTAATATTTTCTATCTTTTTATTAGGTGACGATCCCCCAAAATTAATTACTGATTTGGTAAATCATGAATTTTCGAAATTTGTTATGCGTGGCCGTTCCGTTGAATTGGAATGTCCTCAACCAGGTGTACAAAAGTCAGCAGATACTATAGCTCCGATTACAGTATGGGGATTAATGCCACGTTTAGGAGAGCAACAACAACCTGTGTAAGATACTGATATGGATTTGAACTTTTCTTATTTTTCTACCACAATGTATAAGTAATAAAATTAGTTTGACAGTTGGGTAACAAATGACAATTTTTGGTATAATGGTTCATGTAGATCTATTTGCGATGGAAAGATTCAGGTTTAATGTTAAAACCTGAACAGTGAATTTATGATTTTAGTGTTTAGATGTTAAATGGTTGAAGGTAGCGAAGAGGAAATTCCGGATCTAGGTTTCATGCTACTTAGCAGTCGTTACAAAGTGTACCTGTAATCTTCATAAATAAAATTCGATCAGCACTGTAATTACTAGACAAACATAACACTGATCGCTACTCAGTGATCAGTCAGTTGTAACGTTAGTTTTTATGAAGCCTAAAAAAATCACCCATCCATCATTCCTATTCAAGTTCAGTTGAACTGTTGTATAGGCTTATGGCATATAATAATGAGTAAAATTAAAATGATTTTATACAATTTCACATTTCTGGGTAAGATTTAACAAATAGTTCTCTTATATGACATGGATACTGACGTTATTTATTTGAACAAACACCAAAGTAAACATTGTTCTTTTAATTTCCGCCTTAAAGTTTGGTGATTTATTCACACACCGGATAGTTTTTTTTAATCTAAAGAATGTAAGGATATGGAGGGAATGTCTTTAGAGATTCTGTATTTCCGTTTAAATAATATATAAGATGATTATTACTGATTACTAGATTATATTTACCAACCAGTTTTAATTTAATTTCTTTTACTGTTACAATATTCGATAATTCTAATCACTAGTGAATGGCTAATACAATATTTTTTCAAACTTTCGAATTCTATTTGATTGTGACGAGTTTTGAAATGATATTTATAAAATAAAAATACCATTTCAAATTATTCTCAATATTGCCAAATTCAACGTTTAATGGAACGTTTCAGCTTTTTCATTGCCCCGATTGTAAGAGATTTCCTACAAACTTATCTTAGTCAATCATAGATTTATTTACTCACCCGTGAACTACACTAAAATATGATAGAAATTCAATGATTATCTTCAGCTATTTAGATTAGATTACATAGAACTACCAATTAATTGTAATTAGAAAGTTTTTAAAAAAGCTCAGTTTAGGTTTACCTATTTGAAATAATGTGAGCTAATGCAAATGTATCTTGACTTCTATTACTGTTTAATATATATATATATATATATATTTGCTCCGAAATTGTAATCACCTTATCATGTTCATTTTAGGGCGTTTTGGAGGCTGCTATATTTTGTAGTTTTACATCATTCAGTGACTTCATTTAGACGACTATTGAAAATTAATAACGACAGTAAGGAATTTTTCAGTATTAGGATTAAACGGCTATTCAGTACTTACTGATTTTCACTTGTGATCCAACTTTTATACGTTTCAACAAAATGGATTAATATCTGAATGGGGATTTGTGGAGATTGTAGCAATTTTAATAGTTGAATTCATGAATCCACCTAAGCTAGGCCATCATTGAATACCTGTAAGCTCTGGATGGCCGTTTTGTCCCCAGTATGGTACTCCTCAGCAGTCATCATCCACGATCCTGCATACGGGACTCAAACCCAGGACCTTCGGTTTCGTTCACAAACGCTTAACTGTGAGAATGAAAACAAGCAATATTTATGCATTTCGACCAAATGAATTGATTCATGATCTCAATCAAAAACTTAACAATCTCCACAACCCCTATACTGATAATTAACATGTGCTCACTAGTGACTAGCTTTGTGAGGGAATTCTCGGAGTTCTAGTGAAAAGCCGTGACCAGTGGAGCTAATCCGTGTCGGGTAGAGACAGGTATCTACCTCAGTACAATGGAAGTTGGTCACGCAATTTCGTGGATTGGTTGATGTTAGACACTAACACCATTGGATGCCGGCTCAGTGGTCTAGTTGGTTAAGCACCGATAGGTCCTGGGTTCGAATCTCGCGGGGAGCGGGATCGTGGATGCGCACTGCTGAAGAGTCCCATACTAGGACGAAACGGCCGTCCAGTGCTTCCAGGTTTCCAACGGTGGTCTAACATCAATTGATTCATGATCTCAATCAAAAACTTAACAATCTCCACAACCCCTATACTGATAAAATATATAACATATTTAAATTTTAAAATTGAGTTCATTTTACGCACTAAAAAAAATGAAACTATTTTTTTTAAAGAAAAAATCTATTTGTTCACTTTGAATTTCAGATCAACTTTAAGAGATATTCAATTTGCCGATCAAGATACAAAATTAGTTATCAGTAATTTTGATATACATCATGTGAGCTTTTACACATGTGAAATTAGTTGGCCTAATTCACCAGATCGATATGTTTTTCTTTTTCAAGTTGAACTAGCTGGTGAGTTTTAGAAAGAAATTATTAATATATTTGATAATATTGTTAATTTTATTCATTTAATTACAAACATAATGATTTTTAGATGTTCATTGCTTGTTTAATAAACAAGGGAACGGAAACTTGGAAAAATCTTCTAGGTACTTCACTAACTATTGATAATACATTAGGGATAAAACGTTTTCTTTTGAAATGAATTAAATACTTCAGTGAAATCTGTGTAGACTACAAGGATTGTCTAGGTCAAGCATTGTCATGTTAATATAAAAAGAAAAACATGTAGGTTTTTTTGTGCTCTTTGACTCATTAATCACTGTTCAACTGATCTGATTATTAGAAAATAGTCTGTAAACGTAGTTGTGGTAGAACACTTGATGTTAGGAAAAGCAATAGACCATGAAACAGCAAAGAGCCTGACTTGTATGGACTTCTGAGGCTGTTCTCAATAATAGAAACTCATAGGACTGATGTATTGACAGGAATAAATAGGTATATTAAAGTAAATCAGATTAACGTATCATAAATTCGAAAATTAATATTTTTATGACCATATTTCGTCTATAATATGCACTGGACAGAAGTAAAAGACAGACAAAGAAAGTTATTTCAATGTCATGGGAATTCTTCAAAACTTCAGTGTGATACCTATTCAACGCAAATCAATATTCTTTACCCATCTACTCTTTATTTGATATAATAGATATTTATCAAAATTGATGATTTGAATAAAAAGAGCTATAAAATAAACATACGAGCATGACCTGAAAATTTTGCTAATATATACATATATTCCAATTTAAAAAATAAATTATTTACATTGAATTTTCGGGTTACTAAACTATTGAAAAGCAGTTTTGATTACTGACAAATATCTAATAAAAAATTATTGAAAACTGAAATCAATTAGATGGATATTTTGTTTTCATTTCAAACTGTTCAGTAGTATACACTACTACTAATAATAATATCAAACACTGGATCTAATCGCAAGATCTATTCACGAGGAACATGAAACTACTTAGAAACTAAGTTTACCGTTGCCTACTAGTTACAACGTATAAGAATCCTGACATATTGTTTGTTGAAGTTAAACTTGTAGATTGTAAGATTTCTAGTGAGTATTGTTCTTATGTTTGAAACTAGATTAAAACAACACTTGCTACTTTCAGATTTCTTTCCAGATTATATCACTTTAGGATAATAATCGAGCTGTAGTTTGCGGAATAAATTATTGGAATTTTAGTAACGTGGTTAGGAGTTCAAAATACACCTCACCTACCATGTTGTTCATTTGTAAGCAACTCAGAGCCTAGGATAAATTTGGAGCAGTTCAATTCTTCATATCATATTTCAGTATAGCGGAATTATATTACCAGGATGATTGCCAAAAAAAAGTCATAAAAAAGTGGTATATAGATAAATCAAAAGAAATTCTGATATAGACAATCAGATAGTAGAACATGTTTACCATGCCTACATGTTCTACCAACAAGTATAAGATATAGACCTCCAATCAACTGCCTATTAGGATGGACAATCAGATAGTTTAAGTGGTCAAACGCAAGAACCTTTACTTAGTTGAATAGAGTAAAACAAGTTGTTTTATTAAATTTATCATACAAAGTTACTATAAAAATTACATAAAATTTTAACATGACCACCTAAGTAGACATTGTTTAGTTATTTGTTAAATCAACATCATGTGGCTTATGTTGAATATTGCATAGTTATTACATATTCCTCAGTGGAATTCAATGTATTTTACTTTAATTACTCACATGATACTGTCTTTAATAATAATGTTTACTTTGTTGCAGTGTTTATTAGAATTCAATATTAGTCAACCTTAAATTGAAAGAAAATCCAAATTATATGAAGGACTTAAGTTTTCACTAAACCTATTATGTAACACGCATGCATGTCATTGTGCATTAATAAGCTTATGTAACTCGTTATATTATGTTGAATGTTCTAGGCATTAGTCATAAGATGATTTAAATAAGTTAACATATCCACTCTCGAAAATTCAACGGTAATAAAGTCATTTTTTAGATTTTCATATATCTCTGTTATTAGAGAGCGAACTGCGTCTAAATAAACACAAGAACTATGGTGAGGTAGTAAATATGCACCTCCAAGTGTACGATATTTAAACAAAACAGCTATATCTTGCTTATTAGTTTTCTATTGGTTATCTAGTCGAAACCAGCTCTCGATGTGAAGCTTCAAGTTTAACAGTTGTCACTCCACCTTGAAGTAACAACTAATGATTACTAGTTAGATATTCGTCTTTAATGAATATTCATTTAATTTAAGAGAACCTGAATAACTAAACAAGACAACTTCATATATGATGTATCCACGGTCTACACTAAGTTGTATGGGCGATAGTCTAGTACAAGAATGAGCTTAAAACAACTTTGAAAAATTTCCGGCTAGTTTCTAGTTAGTCAGAAAACAGCTTTCATAAATGGATGATTTATTGGGAAAATATTATTGCAGAGTGTAAACGGATTTAACATGATTAGAACGTTTAACTATGTCTTCTACAGTTTACTGTGTCTGTAAATCGATAAGAAACCGACATGTAAACTCGTCCTAATCAATATAATTCGTTCATCTTCTTAAACCCTTAAAGGGAGCGAAATAGATTTTCAGGGATTCCCACATTGTTCCTAGTTAAAGCTAGGTATTTAGGGATAAGATTAGGGGTTAAGAATTCCGATTTTCACTACGAACTGACATCAGTTATAAGGTAAAAATTATTTATGGCCATATTGATGAATCGATTTCATTTAGAAAATACACGAATAATCCGTCCATAAAACGTGATGCAATCAAGTTAAGCTTTGTTTCACGATTAAGGGTTTGAGTTTGGAATTTAGTGAAATTGTTTATTTGCATGCTGCATACAATCTAAAGGGACAAAATTGGGCATTCCATAAGTTTGACACTATCGTTTTTACTTACGGTTGTAAAATTAATTTCCCGCTATCACCTTAAACGTCCTGAGTGTAAGGAGGTAATTTTACTGCTCATCATATATTATATTTGAACCTAAAAGTTGTGCTTCGTATTCTGAGTAGCCCATCTTGATGCTACACTTTCACCGTTGTGTAAAATAGAAAACAAGTGAATATTATATTACTGAATTCATTGTTTTTTCTACATAAAGCGGTTATTCAAAAACTCCGCTTGGTATTAGATTCAGTCAGTCCTTAATTACATTCAGATTATTTTTCCAGAGATTATAAGTTCTTTAGCATAATGAGAAATGTCATGATGCTTATTGCTTGTCTTGGTGATTATTCATGGTCTTATTGAAGATACATCATCGAGAAAACCTATCAAAGCAATATGACTAACCGAATATTAAAACGGTATTTGTTGAGTCAGCTACATGTTTCGTTAGCTAGTTAAGTCTACACGTATTGATGGCTCAATAAATTTAGTAGTAAATGTTATTTAGTTAGGAAACATACGTGGTTTTAATTATTAAAACATCAACTAAAATTGGACACATTAAGTCATTGTAAACAAATATGTTTTTAAAGTAATCGATTGACTATCAGGTACTCATTGTTCAACTGTAGTGTTATCTAAGTATTTTTAAAAGTAATAAAATCATTGTTTTGGATTTATTTTACTATACTGACATTATGGCTGAGCTTTTCGGACATATATTATTCAAAATTCAACTTACTGCTATTCGTTTTTTTCATTCAGATTTTGTGGTAATTGCTTCGTTAATGACCATGGGATTATGGGACTAGTTAAAGATTTTTTCACAAATTTATAAAATAAGTTCGTCATAACAGTAGTGTAATGGTTCAAGTATTAGACGTTAAATCAACAGGTTGGATGATAGAACTTTGGTTAAGGATCTGGATAGTATTACATATATATAGTGCGGCTAAAACCCTAACACATAAATCTGTACACAGTAAATGACTTATGATAAATTCAGTTATATATCCATTTATAACAGTCGACAGTAGATTCACTCAAAAATTGAACATTATTTTCTATTAAAATTTAATATTCATTGTTAAAAAGACCGTTCGTGCAATGGTTTTCAAATGTTGAAAAACAAATCAAATTATTTAAATAAATTATATTTACATATAAAGATATTATTGAAAAATATTAATCCCTGTCAAGTAAAGCTCTCTCAGTTAATACAACCATTACAGAATAATTTGTTCATACAAGAATGGGAAATATATATATTTATTGTCAACTCTTACTAGTATTGAAAGCCTCACAATGTCATTATATTCAGCACATAATACCTAAACTTAATGTTTAGTTTCGCCGATCAAACAGGTATCATCGGAAAATAGCTGAAATAATATTTCACCGATGATGAAAGTTCAGAAGTAACAAAAAAACTCAATTCAATATTTATAAGTTTAAAAGAAGCGAAAATCAGTCGAAGCAGTTGGAAAATAAACTGGTTGAAATAATTTAACTAAACCATGAAATCCCAAATTAGTGGTTGAAAGGTTAAGCAATCGCTATTATACTTGAAGGTCCTATGTCGATTCTTCTCAGGTATTTTTATGGATGTACATTTCTAGGAAGTTTTATACTAAGACGAAACAGCTGTAATACTTTGTGGTTTTAGATGATATAATTAAGGTCAGTTCGTGATAATAATTACAGAAAATGAAAATGATATTAGATGATTCTATTTGGTACTCTGTAATTATTGTGTTATATTTATAATTAAAATGATTCGCAACTATCTGGTGAAGTAACATAGTTTGTAACCATAGGTATGCACTCCTACTATCATGTATGCGTATACGCATATATATAGAACGAAAATGTATCGGTTATAAAAACGATTAGTTCAATCATCTTTTTTATAAATGATCGTCAAATTTTTTGATTTTATCATCTTAATACAAATATACAAACATTAAAACTTTGTCAAAATTAACACCAAAATAACTACGTTCTTTGTATTTCTTTGTATGGCCAGACCAAAACATGGCACA